AACAAAGGTGAAAGTTCACATGAAAGGCCGAACATGATATTGAAATGTGTTCTTGCCCCAACCAAAAAAAGAGCGCAAATGGTTTCAAGAGCTCAGCAGTTTTGACAATAAAAACGTTTGCAGGCAAATACGTGAAAATCATTTTCTAGAAGAAACTTCTGTCAAAAAAAATATTAGCACCAGCAATGTTTACAATATCCATCCGATACACTATGCATTTCTTTTGCATCACAAGTACAATTTGGTTTGAAAAAAAAACGAATCTGTATCGTGATCACTTTAGAGCCTAATCTCCCCACATGTGCTCTCTGAGAGGGGGAATCCATCAGCAACTGAAGTCAATGAGTAATGACTTTGCAACTTTCTTAAATAGGTGACTGCATTACGTCCTGCGGCGACATTGATGTACCGTACCCCTTTGGCATTGGATCTGCCAATTGTTACTAGCCAGGGTTCAACCTCACCTGTGATACTTTCCTACAACCAGCAAAGCTACTCATCGTCCTACGTGACCTCGTCCTCGACAAGGACGTCATGTTCCACGTCACCGAGATATCCCTCCAGACCAACACGGTGCACATCCTTCATGGCAATGCCATCAACCATATCAACCCTAGCGACTCAAAAAGTATTTTAATGTTTGGCAACTACTCGGAGGCGCCCTACTCGTTATCGACCAGCAACTTGTTGATCCTATCTGGTTGCAACCTTCAGGCGACGCTGCTGATCGGAAATGGTACCGAGGATTTCATCAGCGGTTGTGCTTCCTTCTGCCCCTCCAATGTAAATGACACCTACCTCGAGATGACACTACAGGGTACAGGCAGAAACTGCTATGGCATGGGCTGCTGCCAGGCACATATTTCCATGTCCTCCAACGGCTTCCCCACGTCGTTGGCGTATCAAAAGCTCAACAAGAACAGTGACCAGGAATTGACAACCCAGCCTGCGTACATGCTAATCGCAGAGGAGGGGTGGTTTGATCAGGGACGTTTATCCAAGGAGATGGTGGGGCGGGAGGAATCCGAAACTTCCAAGGTGCAGGTTCCTCAAGTTCTGCAGTGGGAGGTAATACAGGACTTACCACGACCAGTTGACATGAAGGCGCATCCGGGCTGTCCATCGGAGGTAGCCCTCAAGCTCTGCAAGAGCAAGAATAGCTACTGCAAACGAGGGAGCAGAGGTTATTTATGCCATTGCATGGATGGCTATGACAAGCGCGGCAGCAACCCCTACCTCGCCAATGGATGCAAAGGTTAGATCAACTATCTACAATTCTAATATAAGTGTTTATGCTATTAATTTCCTTGCTCTTTGCCATCGTGATCCTTGTGTGTGTCTATTTGTTAGTATTAGTTGTGTGCATCCTACTTATGCAGATGCGAGTGTGCTCACTATGATTGTATGTCTTAATGCTAAACTATGAGTCAACTAGTAAATTGTGCGTGCTTTGCACGCCATTTAAATATATATAAAAAGCATGGGAAAATACATTTGAATATGTATTATCTTTCCTAGAACCGTATCGGACAAGATCCAACTTGGTTCTTACCTCTAGAGAATCCAGATTGTTCTAGTCTCTTTTTATTTGAGTATCAGATAAGCATGTGAATAGATGCTTCTAGAACACATGAGATGGTTGAGTTGGGGGTTCAATTAGACGGCCACGTGGCAGAATCCTATGAGTTGAAAACTATATCCAACGGATGATAATGCTCGGATTTGCCTTCTCTTGACCGTTGGATGGGCATATCCAACGACCAATATTTGAAACTATTGGCACACTATATAGTGGTATAGATATAATACGCCCTTCTCCAAAAGTTTCCTTGTTCCTCTATAGTTTTTAACCTAGTGTTTTTCACTTTTGTCTCCAGGTGGCCGCAAGCCATTGTCTACAGGTGAGCACCGCTGCAACTTGATATAGACAAGTATTATATTTTACTTAGTATTCGTTTCAAGCAATACATATTGGCATTCTAGTGTAGATATTAATCGACTTAATTTGCTTCTTCTCATGAAAATGTTTGCTTTTTACCCGTAGTTAAGAGGAGCTGAGGTATGTTTCTTGGTCCAAATTGAACTCTGCCATTTAAAATTATTTATCTCAAAACCCTGAACTTTCTGAAAGCAATTTTCTTCTTTTCATATGAACTCACGAATTCAAAAAGTTACTTGATTGAACTTTGTTGATTACTCCTGCTGTTTTCTAACTATAGACTAGGTGTATAATACTAATTCTAATTATAGACAAAATGAGTAATACTACATGTACATCTTTGTAGGTATATACCTCAGCATAGGAGTTGCTTTTGGGGCAGGCATCATACTATCTGTTCTCGCTGGATCCTTTGCACATAAGAAATTCAAACATCGAAGATCACTAATGTTGAAAAAGAACTTTGAAAAAAACCGAGGGCAATTGTTGCAACAATTGGTATCACAAAGAGCTGATATTGCAGAAAGAATGATTATAACCTTAGATGAGCTTGAGAAGGCAACAAATAAATTTGATAAAGCTCGTGAGCTTGGTGGAGGAGGGCATGGTACAGTCTACAAAGGCATGCTATCAGATCTTCATGTTGTAGCCATCAAGAAACCAAAGGTGGCGATTCAAAAGGAGATTGATGAATTCATTAATGAGGTTGCTATCCTATCACAGATCAATCATAGAAATGTGGTAAAACTATATGGTTGTTGCCTTGAAACAGAGGTCCCCATGTTGGTCTACGAGTTTATATCTAATGGTACACTTTATGATCATCTTCATGTTGATGGACCACGATCGTTGTCATGGAATGATAGGCTACGGATAGCAACTGAGACTGCCAGATCTTTAGCCTATCTTCACTCAACAGCTTCAGTACCCATAATCCATAGAGATATCAAGTCTGTTAACATACTTTTGGATGATAGTCTAACAGCAAAGGTTGCAGACTTTGGAGCTTCAAGATATGTTCCGGTGGATAGATCAGGGATCACAACAAGAGTGCAAGGTACAAGAGGATATCTGGACCCCATGTGTTTCTATACTGGGCGTCTCACAGAAAAAAGTGATGTGTACAGCTTTGGTGTCCTGCTTCTGGAGTTGTTGACTAGAAAGAAACCGTTTTCATACATCTCTTCTGAAGATGAAGGCCTTGTCACACATTTTTATACCTTATTCACACAAAGAAAATTGTCAGAGATACTAGATCCACAAGTTCTGGAAGAGGGCGGCAGAGAGATGGAAGAAGTCGCAGCAATTGCAGCAATGTGTATTAGATTAAGAGGGCGCCCGTCCATGAAGCAAGTGGAGATCAAACTTGAAGGCACTCAAGCATCCAGGGGACATGAGGGGGGTGATGTAATAAGCTGTCAACGGGCTGCAGATGGAAGTAGGTGCGAGGAATTGTCCAGGCAGCATAGTATGGAAGAAGAGTTCATGTTATCTTCAAGGTATCCTCGGTAGTTTTGCATAAGCCCGAGCTCATCAGTACATTAGTTTTCAACACTTTTTTTGAGATTCTTCTTTCAATTAATTTCCCTTGTGCATTTGATCTCTTTGCTTGCTTACATGGCAGCTCCTTTTCTTCATCCTGTCTTTTCCCAAATAAACTTAGCATTAACACCCTCTATAAGGTTATAATCTTGTTGTAACCGGGTCGGGTGCTTAGCCAGGTGGCAGCAAAATTATTAGTGAAACAGAGGAATGTAATGAGCTCGCTTTGTTCTGATCGGTTGTTCTTTTTTAGTTTTTATTTTTCCTGCAGCTAAACACACCTACTTAGCTTAGTTATCCAAAATGCCAGGAGAATCAGACAACATAATTCCGAAAATATTTATGTCTATCCAAGTGTGTGTTTTAACCAATATTATTTTGGAAAAAGCATAGGAAAACCGAGTAAAAAGAAAAAACAGAGAAAAGGCATGTTGAATTAGACGAGTAAAAATGAAGAAAAAGAAAGAAAAGAAAAATAAAGCAAAAACAGGAAAGTAGCAAGTAGAGTCTGTTGCTGTGGCAAGTAGCATTGGGAAGGAGAAACCCCTGCTTAGCCTATTTTTTAACTCTGTTTTTTCGAAAAAATAATCGCTATAGTGGGCTGGCCCAATTTGTAGTGCTCAACGCGAGAATCCCCCCTCGTCTCGCATAATGCGAGTAATAGGGGCGCCTGGTAGGGGATCCATCGGATTTCCACACGTAAGAAGGACCAGTATCCAGCCCGTTGGACCATGCTAGGCCAATTAGGCCTGGTAAGTACTCCGTATGTTATTTTTTTTAAGCTAACTACTCCGTATGTTATCTAGTTTGCCATGGGCCGATTAGGGTCGGTGTCTGTGGCGATTTGTTGGGCGATCAGTTTGCTAATTGCAATCCTCCCAAAAAGACTTGACAAATTGCAAGATAATAGAGACCTCCTCCCATTTGGCGCTTCAGGCGCTGACCGGGGCTCCAGCGCTCACGCGTGCCTCGGTTAGGGCCGCCCCAATCACACTTTGCACCATTGACACCATGAGAGCTTCTAAGTGGCGCCTTAAGCGCAACTTGGAGGAACTGGCGCCCACGCGCCTGCTAGTCTGGACCGGCCAAACAAAAAGCGATCACTCATGTACCCCTACTTCACGGTCTCGCTCACTTGGTCAGTTTTTGATACTTCTACTCTAGTATAGATAGTTAACTGCTAATACTTGCTAAAAAAACAAACTTGATAGCTAATCAGTTGACCAATAACTGTTGGGCCTTTTACCGATTGACCGTTTTTTCTTGATAAAAGAGAGCGCTCTCTCCAATTTCCATTAATAGAAATCACCAAGTCTTGTAGCAGAACAAAGGAAAAAAAGAAACACAAAAACCCCCAACACAAGACTCCACTCTTCCAGCTGATCCATCCCACTGCCATATTGGGAAAGGAGGAGAAGGCATCCCTTCCCCTCTCCGAAAACCCAAAGACAGCAGGGAAGGAACCTGAAAGAGTGTTCCAAGGTCTAGAAACATGAGGATCTAGCCCCAGAACGACAACCCACTCTGTTATAAGAACATAGGCTACAAAGGAAACAACCAGTTATAATAGCAGACTCAATATTACAGGAACATCCACTTAGTCCGAACATGCAGCAAAATGAAGCAAAGCCGTCATGAGAAGGCAGGAGCCAACATATCCATCGCAGCAAGGAGGGCATCTGCTACCCTTTGATCCTCACAGTCTTCAGGCGCCACCCATGTGCTGCCTTGAATATTTCTTCTGCCACCTCACTTACTAGCTTCACTCCAGCCTCCATCAGCTTACTTCTTACGGGGTTTGTCTGCAAAATATTCCAATCATTTAGATTTTTAATAAACAAGGAAACAGGGACACAGGGATCATTCACCCTATTGTTGTCAAATATCACACTATTCCTAAGTTTCCAGATAGTCCAGCAAATCGCTGAAACTCCTATCATGACCAAGCTTTTTTCATCTTTTCCAAAGGTATTTACCAAAGATCTCATGACAACATCTAGTGTGTCTGGAATGTCCTTAAGATTAAAGGCACATTTTAATATGTTCCATAATAATCTAGCAACCGAACAGGTCAGAAAAAGATGGTTTATGTCCTCTTTTTTCCCATAGAAAGGGCACTTATCATCTCCCTTCCATCCCCTACGAATCAAATTATCTTTTGTGAGAATACTTTTCCTAAGGGCCAACCACATGAACACCTTGATTCTGGGTGGCATTTTAATCTTCCACATATATAAGTGTGGATATTTGACACCGTTTTCAATCAGGTGTCTATAGAAGGACTTTACAGTATAAACTCCCTTCTTATCAAGAGTCCATTTAATCTCATCCTTCTCCTCATTCAAAGTTACCACATTACAAGCCTCTTTAATATGCCCCCACAATTCTCTTGCATCTCCCAGTAGGGTTCTCCTAAACTGGACATTGTCTAATCCATTATCTAAAACTTCTTTAACCATTTTCCTTTTATCAAAGCATAGATCATATAGTCTAGGAAAGTTCTTTTTTAAAGGGGCACTACCAATCCACCAATCTTCCCAGAAACGAGCTCTTTTGCCGTTTCCAATTTTAAACTTACACAGAGAGACAAAGTGATCTCTGTGTTTTAATATCCCCCTCCAAAATTGTGAATCACCCTGTTTGGCCAAAACATTGCCCACACTTTTATTCTTGACATACTTTTCTAAAACTATATCTTGCCACAATCCCTCAGTCGTATATAATTTCCACCACCACTTACATAGCAAAGCCTTGTTCATACAGGCTAAATTTTGTATCCCCAGGCCCCCCTTATCCTTTGGCCTGCAAACCTCGGACCATTTCACCAGATGGTATTTCCTCTTCTGATCATCTTCTTGCCATAATAATTTAGCTCTAAAGAAATCCATGCGCTTCTCAACCCCCGCCGGGAGCCCATAGAAGGACATCATAAAGTAAGGTATGCCTGTAAGGGCAGATTGTATCAAAGTAACTCTCCCCGCACTAGCTAGCAGTCTCCCTTGCCAGGTTTCACATTTTTTCTCCATCTTAGTCTCAGGAGGCTTCCAATGTTTATTTCTGATTCTATTTTTATCAATAGGTAACCCTAAGTATTTCATAGGTAAAGCACCCACCGGGCAAGTAAATATTTTTTGCATATTCCTCTTTCTTATCAATCGCCGCACCAAATAAGAAGAGTTCACTTGTATGAAAATTAATCTTCAGACCCGACATTTGTTCAAACAAACATAGGATATATTTCAAGTTTTGTGCACTGTCCATATCATCTTGTAGTAGGAATATAGTGTCATCTGCATACTGCAACATGTTGACCCCATTTGTTGTATATTCACTTAAAACCCCTTTAACCAGTCCATTTTCTCTAGCCTTATTCAACATAATTGCTAGAGCATCAGCAGCCAGATCAAAATTTAGAGGAGATAAAGAATCCCCTTGTCTCAGGCTTTTATAAGAACAAAAATATTTTCCTAAATTCTCATTAACTTTAACACAAACCTTTCCTCCTCTAACTGTTTCCATAACCCAGTCAACCCATTTGTCTGGAAACCCTTTCAGTTTGAGCATTTGAAACAAAAAGGACCATTTGATTTTATCATAAGCCTTTTCAAAGTCAATTTTCAAATGTACAACACTTTGCTTATTCTTTTTAATGCTATTCAAAGCCTCATGCAAGATCAGGACCCCCTCCATGATATATCTGCCCTTAACAAAGGCAGTTTGTACAGGGGAGATGACCTCAGCAGCTACCAAATTAAGTCTGTTCATTAAGACTTTGGTGATAATTTTAAAGCATACATTTAATAGAAAGATAGGTCTGAACTTCTGAATTTGATTAGCACCAATCCCTTTTGGGACCAGGGTTATGATACCATAATTCAGTCTACAGATATCAACTTTCCTACTGGCAAAATCGTCTAGTAAAGCTTTTAAATGAAATTTCACCAACTCCCAATAGTGTTGGTAAAATTCAGCCATGAAGCCATCTGGCCCAGGAGATTTATTGTGTGCCATTTTAAAGACAACCTTTTTAATCTCCTCTAAAGAGAATTCTTCCACCAACAGATTAGCATATTCCATTGGAATCCTAGCAGGATTATCAATATTTAGGGAAACAGAGGAATTATCTGGTGGGCCAAATAAGTTTTTGTAGAAAGTAGTGATATAATCCATCAAATTCTTATCTCCTTCTATCACCCCCTCCTCTTGTTCTAACCTAGAGATTTTATTCCTCCTAAGTCTCCCATTTGCTTTGGCATGAAAAAATTTGGTATTGTTGTCTCCCTCTAAAAGTTCACCAATTTTGGCTCTCTGTTTCCATTTAGCCTCTTCTTGTTTGAGCAATCTATCAAGCTGGGCCCTCAACTCAATCTGTTCCTTTCTATCAGCAGCTGTAAGGCCATTAGCCTCACATTTTTTATCAATGATATCTAATTTGAATAGAATATCTTTCTTTAGCTCCACATACCAAGCATTCATATTTCTATTCCACCCTTTAAGTTTGGGTCTTAACATTCTAAGTTTCCCCAGCAACCTGTCTATGATGTCCCCCTTAATGGAAGAATCATTCCAAACTTTCTGAACAATTTCATTAATCCCATCTCTCTTAAACCATGCATTTTCAAATCTGAAAATTGGTTCTGTTTTTTGGAAATCCCCAGAATCCAAATAGAGAGGAGTATGATCGGATTTCTCCCTAGTTAGAGCTGTTACGTGGGTTAAGGGGTATACGTACCTCTTCCCAATCAGTGCTACATAGAATTCTATCTAGTTTCTCAAATGTGGGATTCAGCATACAATTGCCCCAAGTAAATTTCCTCCCATTCATATTCAATTCTCTCACCCCAACTTGTTCCAAAATGGCATTGAAAAGAAAACTCCAATGTCCAGGGGATCCTGGTTTATTTTTCTCACTGGCTTTCCTAATAATGTTAAAGTCCCCTCAAATTAAAATAGGGTTTATAGAATTTTGA